GCAAACTCTGCTCCTCTCGGTGGAAATGCGCCTTCTCTTTCCTCTTTGTATAAAAACATTTTAAAAGTCAGTTTAATCTCAAAATTCACTGTTAAATCCAAAACACACCAGATAAAGAAAAGCGAACAGTTCAGTCTAACACAGTGACCCATTAAACGTCTGTAAAACTGTGCAGTTCTGAAACGTAACTTTAACCTCAGCCAAACCGATTCTCTCAGTTGTAAATAAAACAGCGACGTAAACGTGACCCGACAGACCGAACCTGAGTGAATTAAGTCCAGCGTTTAACACTGAGAGCTCAAACTCAGCTGAGGTTTCAAAGCTGTGATTGGACATCAGCCGCTGATGAAGCTGGTTGGGCTTTAAAGTGTATAAAGTGCTCTGTAGGGAAACGAGCTCCAGCAGCTCTGCGCTCAGGAAACAAACTATATTTACTTTTCTTGTGCAGAAAACTGGCGTCCCATATCTGTGGGAGTCTGAAGGCGCTTATCTTTTGCCTGCTGTTGCCTCCCTCTTGAGGCCAAACAACGAACAGCAGGCAGCGTAAAGCGACGTGGATGTCGCGAAGGCGGCGGAAGTTTAACGTTTTACGTTTTAGTGTGCACTCGTTTGACGGCGGCGATTAAACCTGAAAAGGGCAAAACCCGGCTTTCTGTTCTTATTTGTGCTTTTTAAGTTTTTATACAGTTTATCTGACATTTAAGTCCTTCATCTACATACTGCTGCCTTCAGGCTGTAGCCATGGAAACAGGTTTGTAGCGGATTGTTTGGTCAATGCTAATCTGCTAGGCTAATATTTCCTGTAAGACAAAACGCCATAAATAAATCCGTAAGTTTTACTTTGTTGGCTTTAAAAGCGTGTCTGTGAGCAGCTGGTGGTATTTACATGTGCTCCGTCTGGTTTTTCTACTTTGACAACGAAGCATTTCGCAAACAGACAAAGCGGCGTTAAATTGAATGGAGTCTGGCGGCGCTGGGATTACGAGTTTTATTTAAGGGAGTTAAAGGAAGTAAAGGTTCTGGTTGTTTTTAAATGTAATTGAATGTTAAAGACGTTGGTACACTCATGATTAGCTTCAAGTCAGGCTGCAGAGTGTCGGGCTTTTCTGTCCTGATCACAACGTCCCAAGAAATTATTGAGATTAACAACAAACCTGATTTATCAGCTAAAGTGAGTGTGTTTGAAGAGGACCTGGCATGGACTCTGAAGACTCCGAGACTCGCTCTTTAATTCGGCTCTCAATAATTCATCCTTATATTAAATTTAATTTCCAAGCTGCCTGTTTAAAGTTTTCAGGTTGAATTAAAACAATGTGCCTCTAAATTGTTTTTTTTCTAACGGAGTCTGGTATAAAAACATGCGTTCTCGTGGGTGTGTTACGTTGGCGTGTGTGTAGTGTGGATTGAATCCTTCGAGACATTATTGAGGTTTAGATTTACTGTAATTAAATAATAGAAGTTAAAAGCATGTGCTCCTGATGATCTCAGGATAATCTGTGTTGTGGGTTTGAATGTCGTGTTACTGATTAACTCGTGTGCTTCCCGCTGCAGACGAGCAGGCCAGGAACCGTTTCCAGTTGGAGCTCGAGTTCGTCCAGTGTTTGGCGAATCCCAACTACCTGAACTGTGAGTGACTCTGTGATCAGAAACTCGCAGCTTCACATTTGCCAGAGTGTAACGAAGGTTTTGTGTGTTTGTGTTTCCAGTTCTGGCTCAGAGAGGCATCCTGAGGGACCGATCCTTCATCAACTACCTGAAGTACCTGCTGTACTGGAAGGAGCCTGAGTATGCCAAGTTCCTCAAGTACGGCGACATGTTTGATTCTCGGTTTAGATGATTTTCTCTTTGAGGATAAAGTTGTGATGTTTGTAAACCCTTCTGTCAGCTGACCTCTGTGACTCCGCCCCCTGCAGGTACCCCCACTGCCTGCACATGCTGGAGCTGCTGCAGTACGAGCACTTCAGGAAGGAGCTGGTGAACGCTCAGTGCGCCAAGTTCATCGACGAGCAGCAGCTGCTGCACTGGCAGCACTACTCACGAAAACGCATGCGGCTGCAGCAGGCGCTCGCTGAGCAAACGCAGGCGCAGCCACAGACGGCCCCGCCGCACGGCAATGCCGCCGCAAAATGACGACGGAGTTGGAGCGCTGCTGGGATACCGAGGTTATTTCTCCATTCACGTGGACATTAAAGACCGCGGGGGAGGAACTGAGGTGGGAGCTGATCAGCTGATGGGAAGCATCAGCTTTGAACTTCCTGTTGGGATTTTCAAGCTAAAATTTCTCCTGGATTTATGGATGTGACTATTTCCTGGAACTTGTCTGCCCTATGGTCTCAGCAGGAACAGACTGAAAACGAAAAGGCAGCAGAGGTTTTCATTTAAGGTCCTGCTGCTCAGCTGCAGAGCGAGCTCCTGCCTGATGGGGGCGTGCTTTTATCTGCGGCGATCACCTGAGTGTGGCTGAAGTGTTCTGGGTGAGGGAGAGGGAAGTGGCTCGACCTGTTTTCATCCTTTGTTCTAATAAAATGTTTGAAATGTGAAGAGTTTGTTTCTGTTTGCGTGTTGATTAAACCAATAAAGTTATGCAGGCTTTCTTTGTGTTAGTCGGCTCAATAACAACAATGACCTACCTCCTTTTCCTAACCACTTTTCCTTGACCTGAAATATCCTGACGTGAGGGAAAGGTGGGAGGAGACTCTTAGAGAAGGTGCTCTGATGCAGGTCACATGAACAAGATCTCACTTCATCACAAAGAGCTTTTCTGTCAGAGCAAAGTTTCCCTCCATCGTCACTTCTACAGCAGAGCATTAAACAGTGATTCAGTTAGGGCATTTAAAGAGGAAACTCAATATTTCTTTTCTATTTTTAGATCCTGTTAGATTTAGATCTCGAAAACAGATCCGGTGGAAAAGAGCAGAGCAACAAGACAAAGCATCCCTAGCTGCAGAGTCTTGAGCACAAACACAGAGAGAGAGCCCTCCTGGACCCTCTGTTTGTTGACTGAGGGTGCGTTGTTACCTGCTGCTCTCACCTGTAAGAGTGTAAGCGCTGTGTTTATGACAGGACATCTAAAGCAGCGGGAACCAAAACAGATGAAGGACCGAGGACTGATCAGTGAGGAGTGCAAACACCATTCTCAGAGGTCAGCTGACTGATACAGCTAACAAACATTTTATTATAAAATTAACTTCAAAAGAAACCCGGACATGTAGTTTTAGTCATTTTTGTTAAATACTGACACGACAAGCAGCCGTAATAGGATGGTTAATACACTAAAACCTAAACTATCATCGAACTATTTTTTCAAAATAATAAAGTCCGTTTATTTAAAAACAGGAAGCGTTGATCGGAGGACTGTACAGCTAAAATAAATACACAAATAGTTCGATAGATAAATAAAATACCAGCAATAAAATGTAACAGAGGGAACAGAATCATAATAATACATCTGAGTAAAGTAAATCCACTCAGGAAACTAAATGAAGCTAAAATGTTTTGAAAATAGAATAAAATAAAATATTATTTTTGCCGTATTCTGGCGCTAAACGTCCTTATCTGATTTTATTATGAAGGACTCCGGAAGTTTTTTTGATTACGTTAGCGGAAGACACGGGACCGTTTTCTCCGTAACACCAGGGCCGTTGTGCGGTAACCGAGCGGTGTTAAGACGTGAGTCGTGCCTCGGTACCTGGATGGACGCCCAGCGGCTCAGTTAGCTAACGTTTGAGCGATGTTTTCGCTGATTTCCGCGGACACCGGGACGGGAAACGGTTGAGCGGGACGACGGTAACTCCTTGTTTCTTCATCATCACTGATTAATCGGTGTTTTGTTTAAAAGTGCCGACTTTAATGTAGCAACGGAGCGATCTGCACTGACAGGTAGACTTAAAAAGTTTGTGGCCGCCTGGTGTGGGCATGCGCAGTTTGCAATATGGGGTTGAATAAACGTGATTTATGAAACTATGGCTGAGTTAGCTTGTTAGCATTCTGATAAGGGAGTTGTTCATATTTGCTCATCTGTGAAGTGTGGAGGAGCGGATCTAAGGGCTCAGACTGTAAAGTGGCAGCCTGCAGGTCCAAGTCCAGGCTGGGTTCAACTGTACTGAACGCTGTTAGAGTCACAGCGTCACCTTTGACCTTTAAACTCACATAACTTTTATCCTTTGACTCGAACAAAATAATCAGACTATACAGAGCTTCAGTTCCGCTAGTTTTAACTCCTGCCTCTTTGTGCCAGTTTTCTTCTGATTGGCTGCCCCTCATAAACAGAACATTTAATCAGCAGGTGGGCGGGGCTTCTTCTGGAGAGCAAAGCCAAAACCAGCAAAATGATCATTTTGATGCTCGGAAATATTTCACATTAATCAGTTATCACCTAGTGATCCATCTGTGCTGTGGCTGTGTTTGATGTGAGCACGTAGCACTGGAACATAGATCTACAACAGGAAGTGAGGTGGAGCAGATCAGCACGCACTGTATTCACACAGCATGCATGCTCGTTATTAGCTGTTTACTCACTGTGATAACCAGACCTCATCTCGAGCGTTTGTGTCTCCGCGCTCAGTTCAGGTGGAGTCACCAGCACAGACCCGATGTTGCAGCGGGTGGCGGTGGTCGGTGCCGGAGCAGCCGGACTCTGCGCGGCCAGGCACATCCTGTCCCGTTCAGGCCGCTTCGCTCCTCCGGTGGTGTTCGAGCTCTCTGAAAACGTAGGCGGCACCTGGTGTTACGACGAACGTGTTGGAAAGCTTGATAACGGGCTGCCGGTGCACAGCAGCATGTACAGAGACCTCAGGTAGGCTCACCTGTCTGCACACCGTCGATGGGCTCGCTGCGAGCTCCACGTTTCAGCAGCTTTGCATAATTTATGTTGTAAAGTCGTCCTTAACGCTTCAATCCTGACTCAACTAAAGCCTAAAGTCACAGTTGTTTCTGGTGCTTTCCTGTGGGCTCGTTCTCTCTGCAGTCTCCTACATCGACATGAACACGAGAGAAAGGCTGAGCTACAGTGAAGTTTCCTTTCTGTCCTCACAGTTAATGTTTTCTGATATTCCGACAGGACCAACCTGCCCAAGGAGGTGATGATGTTCCCGGACTTCCCCTTTGAACCCCAGCTTAGCAGCTTCCTGCCCCATCAGGAGGTCCAGAGGTACCTGGAGAGCTACTGCCAGAGCCACGGCATCCGGCCCCACATCCGGGTGAGTCGCCCGGGATTCTTCTGAGTCAGATTTAACCGGCTGGCTGTCATAACAGTCTGTGATGTCATGAAGGGTCCAGGTGGCTGCTTTGTGATACATGCAGACTTTACGATTCAGTTAAAATCTGTATTGATGGCAGCATTTTTTATTTAATGCCCTTCGAGTGCAGGAAGGAAAATATCGACTCAGTAACGTTTTATTCCTTTCTTTGTTTTGTTGTAGAGTCTTTACAGTATAAAGCGCCTGGAGGCAGCTGTTGTTTTAAATAACATTGATTGGATTGAAAAATGTCTGCATCTGTAAAAAGTAAGAGTGTGGAGTTTGTGGGAAAGACCACAGCGGTGACCATCGAGATGTTAACTCCGAGCCACAGTCTGAAGCGAGGCTCCAACCAGCTCGACTGCTTCTTGTATTTAACCAAGAGGTTCTAATATGACTAAACTGCTCTCTAGTATAAAGCCAATACCTGAGTACCTGCCACAGGTGTGGACTCCAGGATCATCAGAGATTTGGAGACGATTTCAGCTCCGTCAATAAAAATCTGCTCGCCTTGAATTGTCTAAGAGATCTGATTTGTCTCAAATATGATACAGTACAAAAGTAAACCTCCCACGGCGCCACTTTCACTCCTCACTGTGACTCTTTTTGTCAGTTCAACATCGTTGTGGAAAGCGTGAAGCCCGTCAATGTGACGACAGAGGGTGAGGTGGAGGAGAGGACGGCGTGGGAAGTGACATCATCGGATTCTTCAGGTCATCAGAAAACTGAGACGTTTGACTCCGTCTTCGTCTGCTCAGGGTGAGATCACAGACTGCGTTCTGTCTAATGACCAGCAGGGGGCGATGGCAAATACAAATAAAAGTGCAGAAACCTATGAATCTGGTTCTGTGACCAACACTTTGCCGATGAGTTGATGGTCTCAGACGTAGTTTAAAGTTTCATTAAATCAAAGGTTAAACTACAGCGTCTCATTGGCTAATGAGCCGTAACACCTGGTCAGTGTGTGGCTGCGATTCAACATATTTGCATCCACTAATTATTCCAGAGAGGAACTTTAACACGATGTCTTTTTTTAAAAGTCTTTAAATGTTGACATTTACAAATAAAAGTGAATCTTGTGAAGTCGATTTTGTGTTTTGGAGAAAGAAAAAGATTTTATTCAAAAGCAGAAAGTTACAAAATATGTATTAAAGCTCTTAATTTGAAGGTGAGCATTTTATTTTGAAATGACTCTGTAGGCTGTATAAAGCAACTAGCTGCCTGTTTCTCAGCTTTACTTCAGAATAAAAGCCTCTGCCCCCTGCTGCCACTTGAGGGCGCCAAAGCTCTGAGTTCACCTGCTTCAGCGGCTCTTATTATTTTGACTCTTATTTTGTCTGTTTTAAAGGCACTACTCAGACCCTCACATCCCACTCATACCAGGCATCGAGAACTTTAAAGGTAAAACAAACATTTATGCCTTCATAAAAAAAAAAAAGCTTTTACAACAAGCAAGTATTTTAATGAAAAGTTCCTGATATGATAGAAATTTGTTTTTATGAGGAGATTGAATGAATGCAGTGAACTGGACTTCTGGACACCAAAGAAGTTTGAATGAAAGCTCAACAGGCAGCTCAGCCAAGTCAGTCAGAGTCAGAGAGACTTTATTTATCCCCAAGGGGCAATTAAGATAGATGCCCTGCCGACCGTACATACAATGCACAAACATCACATTGGGGAGACGGGTCAGGCTAGGTAGCACTGGCCGGTCGACCCCATGAGCAGCCACCCGAACCGAAACCATGGAAAATGCACAACATGAGGAAAGACGAGGAGAACAAAAGAACTCCTCCAGAGAACAGAAAAAAACACCTCAACACTCGAATCAGCACATCTCACAACATAAAGACATGAGCGTCGAAGGCGTTTGGAGGTGAGTGTAGGTCTGCATCAGTGTACATGTGTGTGTTCAGCTGGGAGAAAGTGTCCCTTCACCCGGTCAGGCAAAAGTCAGCAATCTTCGGTCAACGCGTGACCTTGAATGAGGAGGAAGAGTCACAACAGCTGTTTTGTTATCTAACGGAGAGTTGTGTTATTTCAGCTTTTGCCTTGAGCGTCCAGCTGGCGCCAGGGGGGCCGCATCATGAAGATGGTAGTTGTTGTGGTTAGTGCGAACAAACTGCTTCCAGTTTTACAGTTGATCTAACGTCCATCATTGGTCACCAGGTCTCTTAATTCTCGTTGTTCTTCTCCAAGATCTTCTCCATACTGCGTTTAATAAACAGTCTTGAGTATTCGCAGCCCCGCCCATCGTCTATCATGTCGGCCAGGCTTGTGGGACAACTTTTGCCCCGCCTACTCTGGAACAACTGTCACCGCTGCACAGATTGTCCCTCCCAGTGATCCATTCTAGAAGCAGTGTGCCTCTCTGTGTGCAGGGAAAGTGCTCCACAGTCACTCGTATCGATTCGCGGAGCCGTTTGCGGGTCAGTCGGTGGTCGTTCTGGGAGCCAAAGCATCAGGTCTGGATATTTCCCTCGAGTTGGCGGCTGTGGGTGCCCAGGTAACAACTAACATCTGCATGCAGATGTATTATTTTTATTATTATTATCTTTATTTCTTGCATATTTTAGTTGACGAGCTGGGCACCAGTGGGTTCCTCCTCTGATGGGAGGAAGGTGCCAGGTGATAGACAGAGGGTGCATGTTCCTACATTTGTATTAACTGTTTGACAAAGCCACAGGGAGCCTCTGGAGGAAGAGGAGCGAGAGCAAAGACGTATAATTGTGTCTTTAACCCTAACCCTAACTGCAGCCTGGGACGAGCAGCGAGTGCAGAAAGCGTGTGACGGAGCTTTAGACTCACGGTAATTTGCGTGTTTTTCTTTCTTCATCTCACAGGTGACTCTGAGTCACCGCCGCCCTCGGATCACGTTCCCTCTGCCTGATGGGATTCAACAGTCCAGCTCAGTAGAGGCCGTCGAGGACGACGGCAGAATTCGCTTCCAGGTGACTGACCTCAACTGTATTAATCCTCCACTGCAGGAAGTCCACCTGATACAGTGGCTT